AACGTTAGTCACGGCAAGTCCCACCAAGGCCAGGATCGGAAAGGTGTAAGCACCAATCCCTGGCTACGCCTCAAGGGTTCAAAACCATTTCTAAATATAGAACCCACTTTATGTTTGCAGGAGTTATAAATCAGGGAAAACAACTTTTTTCTATCCCCAATAAAATATTTGCACCCAAAGCAAAATCAGTCGATTTCTGGCTTTTTACCAGTTTTGCTTGGGCATAAAATTTTCTGACACTTCACCAGAAATGTCAGCAATAGTATAAGGCAGCTTTAAAGAGGGATATAATTTTCTGACCTGTGGATAACCCCTTTAACCCCAACAGGAAAAAGGGGGAAAAGCACACCTGAAACCTGGTTTTTCCAGTTATTACTATAAATGATAGAAATTATTTTTCTTAGTGGTCAAATCCTTCCTTACAGGAAGTATTGATCTTTGAATTTGGTGAGGGGAGGGATCATGCCTGTTTTACTGCTATATCCCCAATACCCACCCAGCACAGACCCTCACTTGAAGAATGATTTCAATAAATAGTCAAGGAAGGAGAAGAAGAAGAAGGTGGGGGGAGGAGAGGGATAGAGAGAGAGAGAGGAAAAGAAGTAGGAATTGAAAGTGAGAGGTTCAGATGAAGATATTTTCCCCTCTCCTTTTATTTCTGTCTTCATTTTTCTTGAACTTGCAAGCATCCAACTTGATAGAAAACCATTTATATCTTTTGACAGGGCCTCCTGTCTGAAGCCAGATATACCATCCAATGCAGTCAACTCAGGTTCCAGAAAGAACCACAGCAATTCTCCATGGAGACAAAGAAAAGAGAGAGTGGAGTGAGACAAACTCAATGAGTGCTCCTTTATCCAACAGCATTCAAGAGCATGACTGCTGCCTCCCATGTATGGCACAGCACACTGCACAGAGCCCGCATAGTCAGTGGGCTCAGGGAAGGCTTGGTGGAAGAGGTAACTCCTGCTCTGGCTTTGGAGGGGCAGGATTTGTATAGGAAGAACCAGAGGCGTGGAAACGGGTTATAAATCTCAGAATTAAAGGAGAGGCTGGCTGCACAGCTAGCAGGACAATTTTTCCCCAAAGTGCTTCATGGAATATATTCAATGAAAACCATATTCAGAAAATTGAGGATTGAACGGAACGGCACTGGTTTTTTTTTACTGCAGACCTTCTCAGTGCTTTTACTATGCAACTGGAGCAGAAGTGGCAGAAGATCCCATTTGTAAATCAAAATGGATTGATTTGGGGGCATAAAAAAAATGCCTTTTCTTACTAGCTGTATAAATTTAGCAAAATGTTCAACTTTGATGAACACATTTCATCTTACCTAATATGGAAAAAAATGATAGTCCCAATCTTAGTTGTTATGAGAAGTGAACACTAAAAAGAACACTAAAAAAAAGTGATTAATTTAGTGTTGGCACTTAATTAACACCACATGTATTACTGTTGCTGCTTCTGCTCCTGTTGTTTCTATTATTATTATTACTAACTTATGTCATGAATATAAAAAAGAAAAATGTAACATACAGCATTTCTTAAACGGTTTGGTCAGTTTTTCATCAGATATTCTTTGGAAATGCTAGGTCAGCACATAGTGCCTAGCCTAGTATACAGTAGGTGCTCACTATGTATTTGTGGAGGAAACGGGGCAAAAAAACTGACCCTAGCAAATAACAAATTGCAGAACACTAAAAGGATGCTCTGGGAAAGGTGTTTTTCATTATTTCTTTGGGCAAGAGGCCTCTGAAGTCTGTGAGGAGTGACTTCATCTTTTGCTAGAAGAATGAGGGATTGAAAGCACAATGTTCAGCTTTGGGGAAACATCACAAAGAGTTTATTTTGGTAGAAGTGTTTGAAGTGATTCTATAATAATGAGCTCACGCCTGCTGCCAGGCACCAGCCATCAACTTGAGCCTGCTTGCAGACCAGTGTACGCGGTCCCTCACTGACAGCCCCTTCGTCAAACATGTGATGCCCATGTGCAGGAAGGATCCCAGAAGACTTGCTCCAAAGATGGCTCCCTCCTCTCCAAGAGGGCACACTGAGGCCCAAACAAGGAATCAGCTGACCTGGAATCCAAAGTGAGCTGAAGACTGAGAGAGCTGGGGAGAAGCCTGCATCTTCTGGTTTTACTCGGTTAATTTTCTGGAAGGACTTTGAACTGAATCCCAAAGGATAGTTTTTGTTTTTTTTTAGTCAATTGCTGCATACATTTTTGGAGATAGCCTCATCTGTCATAAGTCACACGCTAATCTCACAAATAGTTACTAGAAATGCACAAGTTTCATGTAAACCCTCCCCCTGAGTACAACACAGAGATCCTGATAAACCTCTCCAGCTTCCCACTGGTTTGTGTATAAAGACATTCTTGACAGAACTGGAGTTTACTGGAGTGGAGATCTGAACGATTTGGAATATGACACTTGTATTTTTACCAAACCCAACACTTAATATCTGTCCACCTGAATTTAAGCATGAGCATCTACATAGAATTTGAAGAGGAAATGAAGTCATCTAAAAAGCAGTTGAAGGGAGAACTTCCCATGGAGTCCACAGCACAAAGAAAAGTCTCAAGAATTATTGCAGTTTCCAAACTTCAGACTGGGAGGTGGGTATGTGCAGGGCAAACCGTAAACTATGGTAAGAAAGACCAGACACAATTTTTCTAAAATATATGATATATACATACACACACATACACATATATATATGCATACACACATATGTATCTCAACTGTATGCCATATAAAGAAAGTACATGGTCAAGACTTCCTGCATTCAATTCAATTATTATATTTCATTTTAACTGGTAAACCTGGAAGTAGTTGGGAGAAAAGCACAGTTAATTCTGGAAACCTGTTAAAGTTCAAGAAAGCTTCCAGGACTCTGAAGACTTGTTTCCAAGAGGTCAGAGCTGCCCAATTCTTCCTACACTAAAAATATAACCGGAGATGATTATCCACAATGATTGCACATTTTCTCCGCCAGGTTCATTTGAGGCAATAGGTTAAATGATATGAACCTTGATATAACTCCTATAGTTCATCCAACTAGATTTGGCATGCACACTTTGCCACACGCTATCAACACACCCTGCCCCTTGTCCAGGGAACCACTGCACACCCATAACCCCTCCCAGTCCTATCTTCTGAGAGTCAGAGCTCATGTTCATTTACCCTGTATCATATCTTCTGAAAGTCAGAGTTCATGTCCATTCACCATAAAATAGGAAAAAAAAAAAAAAAAAAAACCACACACAAAAAAAAACAAAATGACCACATAGTGAAGTTCCTAGAGTGTAGTGTATGTATGTATGTATGTATGTATGTATGTATGTATGTGTGTGTGTGTGTGTATATATATATCTCTCCACAGCAGAGTGTAGATAAAAAACTAAAGGCCCTGATAGGACGCTTGAGGTGTGAGAGCAAAAGGGATCCCTATATCTCAAGTGCTTTAATATTAAGAGGTGCAGGTTAGGGCAGCAAAGGGAAGGCAAAAGGGAGGGGATAAAGGCAGGCAAGGAGAAAAACTTGAAGCTTCATTAAATGAGTGGATGAAAAACTTGTAGAAAAGGTTTGGATGTATGTGTCCAAGCCTCCCCCATCCCACCCTACCCTACCACCCATTATCATGGTTGTGTTTCTGCCTGTTGGCGTACTAGATTTGTTCTGCTCCAGAAAGTGAATTAAGAGTCATTAGATTTGGGAATTAGAACAGTTCTCTGGGGTCCATGCTTTTAATTTCTGATCAGATCTCTGGGAACTTTTGAGAATGAGGTTTTCCTGCAGTGTGAGGAAATTCAGTCAGTTCTAGGGGGATACCCAGTGTGGTATGTGAGAGTGGCAGAGAAATATTCAAGGACTATGAACCACCAGGATTGGAAGTCAGCAATGGGACAAAATTAGCAGATGAGCAGGATGCCTTGTTTTGAAATAACTTGGTACTGGAGTAAATGCATTGGTCTGGTGGCTTGGGTGATGGGTCAGAATAAAGGGTTGCAGATCCTGTGTACAGAGAAGAAAATAATATTGCTTGCCTCTCAATAGAGCAACTATACTGACTACCCACATTGATTTGATGCTTTTTTTTGAGGTTTAGGTTGCCTCAAATCCTCGAATGAGCATCCTTTAGTAAACTCATTGAATGATAAGGAAATCGCTACATATTACCATGTTTTATTGGAAAGAGAAGTTGTCCTTGACTTAAGGAAGAAGAAATTACTGGCTTGGGCTTCCTACATTGGAAGAATCAAACCTGGGATGGATTTTCAGATAAAATGCCCATTTCATGTCTTAATATTGAGGTACACACAGTCATCAGTGAATCAAGTTTTACATTTGGTTCCATATGCTATGCGTTATGGTATATAAAGGTAATTAAAGTATGCCTTATGGCTAATAAAAATGAAGTTAGAAAGTTAAAACCAAAACAATGTCAGGAAATAACATGTGTGTACAATATGCTAGTAACACAGATAATTTTCAAAAGTGACTTTTTTAAAAGTATTATAAATCTTTCAAAACACAGTGATTTATTAAGCAAAAAGTCTGAACAGTTTGCACTATTAAATTTAGCTTTTAAGTTGCTGTGTCATGGGCAGATCTTTTGTTCTCCTAGGTTAAATTTAGCCTTCTGCATTTTGTTCTCTCCACAGCTCCATGTTGTATCATCATGCAGTCAATTTTCCGAACTGCTCAGGAGAAATGCTCTGGGGAGTTATCATGATAATTTCTCTTATGGATTTTATAATCCAGAAATAGAATTAAATAAGCCAACAGTGACTTATTGCCATCTTCCTCCTTGCCCCTTCCCACCTATACAGTCTTCTCATAAAATAAACCTTCCTGAGGCATGGAATGAAATGGGGGGTAGGGGGACGCAGTGGCCAGAGGAAAACCATTTCAGAAATGTGTTTGTTAAACAAGTGCAAGCCATAAATTGAGCTTAGGAGGGAAAGGCAGTTAGAAGAAAAACTGAAAATTACTGACCTGAGAGTCAAGCTGATTGGAGCAAGGGTGAAAGCAGCAATTTGGAGGATAAGCAGAAAGGAAAAGGGATAGCAAAAGAGAATAAAAGGAAGGAAATGAATTAGTTTTAAACATATAGCCAACAGATGTCATATCAGCAGGTTTATAACCAAACAAAGCAAACTTTTATCTTATATTACCCCCAAAAGCCCTGGGCATGCATTGTAAGCTGTTATGTTAAATATCATACTGAAGAAACTAGTATCTGCTCTGATATGTATAATTACAAAAAGCACTGATGTGAACCAGAGATGTGCTCCCACAACACAATGACAGCATCAGCCCTTCTCTGGAGGAATATTTATAGAGAAAGTTCCTATCTGTGTGCATATACAATTTTATTATTTAATAAACTGAAATGGAAACTACTAAGGTATTAGACCTGGGTAAGTGCTGATGCCAGAATGATTTTAGTTTGAACCAGTAATTTGGATGGTTATATCCTATGAGATATTTTTCCTTCATCCCTGAAAACTGAAAGGAGCTGAGCAATTTGGCTTTCGGTTCAAAGATTTCCATTTTAGATGCTTACAGAGCACTGCAACTAGCTATGATCAAAGACCTCCTGAGGAGGGTTTTTGGTGGTGTGCCACCCACCTGTCAACCTCCCCAACAAGGACAGAGTAACTTCTCAAGCTAAGAGTAATTTTTTTTCAGTCAGGAAAATGAATTTCCAACTTCATCACTGAAAATATCAAGTTATCAAGTTATAATACTTTTTAGCTTGTTTGTATAAAAATACCTAGCATGCCCTTCTCATTGATTAAAACAATAGTCTCTGTTGTCTAGCAAAAAAAATGAAATAAAATGAAACAAACCAAAAAAATATATTCATCTTCCAGGCTGCTACAGGAGCACATAGCGGACATTCATTTTGTTGATCTGTAAAATGCCCTTTGCAAAAACAAAGTGGATAAACAAATACTTTTCCAGCTTTCTGCTCAATGGGGCCCCACCATTCCATACTCTAAAAAAAAGTAGTTTTAGGTATTTCACATTGGAAGGAAAAACAAAACAAAATAAAATAAATCCTCAGGATAAAGCTTAAGCTAGAACATTTCAAATGAAGACAGTGTTGACTACCATGATAGAACTGAAAAAGAAAATTTAAGATTAACCACATGGGAAAAGTGTTGATTTGATAATCCCTTGTATCTGAAATCCCCCTGCTGAGTGTTTTGTGATCATAAATGCACAATGATTGAAAATGATAGTTATGTCAGGACACGATCACTGTGGGGACTTTGGCAACACTGGCCGCAGCTGCCATTCCAAATCCTTCTGGATCAAAGGTAATTAAATCAAGGTCCGTGGCCAAGCCTTAGGAAATCCTAAACTGAAATAGCAAGCACACATCTCAGAGTAGTTGCCTCTTTCAGGGGCTCCTAGTTTTCATCAGATTCTCAAAGGTGTCTGTGATGTCCATGACCTTCCCCAAAAGGTTGCTAGGAATGGCATATAACCATCTGCCACTTGTTTTCAAGAAGTTATTTCAAATACATTAACAAATGTAAGTGAAAATTACTCAGCAAGAAACATTTATATCAAAACAAATAAAACTGGCATGAAGTTTTTTCCATGTACCATGAAGCTTCTAAAACATATTATCATAATTTAAAAATAACAATAAAGCTTAAGTTTATGTTTTGAACAGAGCTCTGAAAGGCATCAAGGAAATTATGTTAGCACACTATTGAGCAAATCAGAAGAAAAAATAACATTCTCTTTCTCAAACTTAGATAAGACTCTTTTAGGCAACTAAAATGATTTCTCAGTGTCCAGATGTCTGGTAATATTATTTCTCCAGCCAGATAATTAAGTGGAAGCCTGTTTTCCATTCTGATGTTATGTCTTATGAGTAGAACCCCCAGGGATCCAGCCTCCTCTCCACATTGGGGAGGTATGTGATTGAGGTCTCAATTTGGGCATTCTCCATTCTCTAGATATATACCAACAAAATCCCTAACATATTTAAGATAATTACATGAAAAGTCACCAGACTGATTCCTTCCCATGGGTGGGATGTGAGAAATATAGTAGCAGTAGGTCTTACTTGACAGATTCTATTAACCTCTCTCTTTCCCCTAAGTCACCAAAGGATTAATTCTGAAACTCTAAATAAAATTCAGAGACCTTGATGGGCACTGACACAGCAGCACTACATATTTCACTGCCTGCAAGGTTTAATTAGCCACTAGGTTGTGTAATATACATAACATCTGACATTGGGGATGGAATAGACTTCAGCCAAATTTGAGCCAACTCTCAGAGACTCGTTCAAGGCCCACCACCCACCTGGTTGCAAACTCCCCTGAGCTCCCTGTAGTCCAAGGCAGAAGCTCCCCACTGGGCCATGCAAGAGTTTACAGGCATAACTGCATGTGGGACCACACTAGAGAAACATGCACTTTAAAAAGTAAAATCTATAATGGCTGATGAGAAACATCACTCACATGGAATTTAAGAGGTAAATGCATTGTGTAAATGCTAGCCATGTGCTATCTGGAATGGAAAGATTAATAGAATAGAAAGTAAACACATACTGTCTTCTGAGACAGAAGAGGGCCAGTGTCAAGGCTGTCTGAGTTATTCCTAACCCTGTACCTTTTGTGGCGTACAATTGAAGTTCTGGAATATTTTAGAACATTTGCAAAAGAGGTCTTTTCACTCTGGTAGATCACATTAAAAGCCAGAGACCACAAATTTATTTCAACTTCAATATTTTGGTTTTCAAAATTACAAATTTAATTGCAAACATTTTTTCATGACTCCAAGATGGAGATACATGTCACATTGCTAAGAACTCTTTAGTTCCCAATATAGTCAGGTATGAATTTTGTAGTTTAATCCAGCAAATGGCAATATTGCCGAATTAAAAAAAAAAAAAAAAAAGCTGCTTGGCAACTGGAGGAAGATGTTTTAGTCAGAATACACACGTAGTACAGCAGACAATGCTTCAGAAAGGGAGGCCAAGCCTGAGCCCTCTTTTTCCCAAGAAACTTCCCCTCTGAATCTCCACCCCCACTTCCTTAGGGGCCTGGGCTGGGGCTGGGGCTCAGACGTTTCCCAGACAATGCTCTGCTGCTGGACTCAAGACACAGGCAGGCAGAGAACTGGGACAGACTCAGGTCCCACCACACGTTTTATGAATTACAGTGCCTGGGAGGCATCAGCTTTAAGGAGAGGCAAAGGCAGAGATAAAGAAAATGTGCAGAAAGTACATAAAGATAAATGCCTGTAAAATCACTGCTGATTTAATGCATTCCACATTGAAGAAATAAAAATCTGAATATTCTTGATGATTTAAAGGCAAGAGTGTCCAGCTAAGATCTGTTTGTCCAATTAGACCATTAAGTTGTTTATATGTAAACGTTTGTAGTAGCTTGTCCTGATTTTCAATTACAGTCCTGGAGGGGAGGGGGCTGATTTTGCATAGAAAAATCCCATCTAAATGTGAAGCACATCAGTTTCTCTCCTGTATGCTAACACAGAGGTAGATCTCTTGCGGCCCAGCAGCAATGCCTGCTCAGGAAGGCTCTCCATTGGCTGCATGACTGCTTAGTGCTGTGGTACTAGCTTCTTTCTTCCGGCCCATTAGGGAAGGGATTGTACTCAATGGCTTATCTGTCAGCCCTGGGTTCAAATCCCCACTTGATTCTTATGAGCACTGAAACCTGGAGGAAGTTACTTAATCTGTATAAATCATAGTTTCTCATCTGTAAAATGAGAATAATGATAGTTTCTGTATTGTGGGTAAGACTAAAAGGTATGCAGTATTGCAAATCAAGTGCTTAGCAGAGTACTGGCATACTGTGAGCATAGACTATACATACCCTGGTATTACAAATAAAACTAATATAATTATCAGTATTATTTTCTAGGGCATCCTCCACATAGTTCACAGCCTCTCAGAGTAGTGGACTAGGAATCAGGAAACTCACATTACAGTTTCGCATTTTTCTGACCATAGGCCCAATCTCAGGAAGGTCATTCAACTTTTAAGATCTCAGTTTCCTAATCAATGAAAGAGACATGATCATAACTTTCCTGTGATTTCATGCCAGTTTTTTAAGAAAAATTTTGGCCTTAAAACATAGTTCCAAAATAGTCATGTAGATCCACCTATAAAATCACAGTGCCCCCCGCTTTTTAAGAACCAGGAGACTAGCAGAACATTCCTACATTTTAAAATTAAAACAAAGCCCTTTCAGGATTCTAATTTGGACAGTTACCTCAGAAAAAAAGAAATCCTTCACTTTATTGCTAAAATCGGTCACATTGAATAAAAATCAATTTATCATCAAACTAATGCTAAGATTATGAAGAGAAATATTAATTTAGAGTTTGAATGTACCAAATACTATATTTGAAAATGTTGAAATCTTATTGGAAATTAAACTGTTTGTTTAATACAGAGACAATTAATGTTGAGATTTTTGTTTGTTTATTTTCTTAGAGACAGGGTTCTTGATCTATGGCCCATGCTGGAGCGCAGGGGCTCATAGTTTACTGCAGTCTTGAACTCTTGGACTCAAGTGATCCTCCTGTCTCAGCCTTCTGAGTAGCTGGGACCACAGGCACCCACCACCACACCTGGCTAATTATTGTAGTTGTAGATACAAGGTCTTTCTATGTTGACCAGGCTGGCCTCAAACTCCTAGGTTCAAGCCATCCTCCCACCTTGGCCTCCCAAAATGCTGGGCCACCACATGAGCCACCACATCTGGCCTTAAAAATTTATTTGTTTTAGCATTTGACTGTTCTTAATAATATACGTGTTCCACCTTACCTGGGGACTGATTGCTTGCAAAGCATCATTTGAATAAGTTGTTAGTGATTCACTGACTTCTAACAAGATTCACAGCCATAAAAGGATAAGGACGGAAGATCACTCGAGTCCAAGAACTGGAGACCAGACTAGGCAAAACAGTGAGACCCGATCTCTACAAAAGATTTTTTTAAAATTAGCCAGGTGTGATAGTGTGCACCTGTAGTCCCAGCTACTCAAGGGACTGAGGCAGAAGGATCACCTGAGCCCAGAGGTTTGTGGCTGCAGTGAGCCACGTCCACACCACTGCACTCCAGCCTGCATAGCTGGCAAAAAGTAGAGGTGAAATTTGAACCCAGGTCTTTCTGTCACTGAAGCCCATGATCTTTCCACAAGATGATAGAGAGCTACTCTATGTACATCTTGAAGTCCTTTAGGGTCTCACAAATGTCTCAATCAAAGCTGGTCAATATTCATAGGTTTATTCAAAATGTGGTGATTTCTACCATATGGACTGAATCTGGGAAACACAAATTCTGCCTTATTGCTGAACCAATAAGAAATCTGCAGAGGTTATGGAGTTATGTAAGTTTTTTCAAAAAGTTCTTTCCTTACATGAAGTACAGGAAAAACCATTGACAGTAAGCTTAGTTTTAGAGTCTACACTATACATAAATATAATATAGATATGATTTATCTGAAAAACTAAATATTCTGATACAATATTCCCTGTTTTTACACAGAATTTGCTATCATGTAGGACCTATTCAAGTATATGTATTTAAAAAGGTCCTCTTAAGAGATAAACCTCCAGGAAGGATTTGTTGTGGTGTGCCAAGAGACATCCAAAGGATATGAGCTCCTTCCTTCTTCCCCTGTCTTGAATGAAGAATTCCCAACTATATTCTTTGGTTTTTGTTGTTGTCATTGTTGTTTGCTCAAGACAAAACTAAACCACAAATATTTATCTGTGATGGAAAAGAACTGAGGTTTTGGGTAGTCAAAGCCCCAGTTTTTTACTCAATTCCCTGGAAAAATGCTAGATCATGGACATCACTCAAGAAAGTTGACCACTATTTTCTTCAACACTTAAGAAGCTTATAATCCCTCAGTGGATAAGCCAATTGCATTCTTACCATTCCACAGAAATGTCACCTTTCACAGGCCATGTTCCTCACTCACAACTTGTTTCTAACTTGTAATATGAACGTACAGTCCAAAGCCACCACAACGGGAGATGGGCACCCATGCAGTCCGTGTTCTCTCACTGTCCACAATTTACATGACTGCAAAATTTACCTCTCCAGTTCTGCAATCTTCTTGTCCTTGTCATTCTTCTCATTCTCCACCTCCTTTAGGATCTCCAGCAACCGGTCCACTTCCGCTTGGGCCTTGCCACACTCATCACGGTAGTAAGACGCCTCTTTATCGAGCTGTTTTATTCGGTCTGCGAACTCAGGGTTCATCCTGGAGTCATCTTCAATATTATGTGCCTTCAACGTTACATTTTTAAAGAATGCAATTAAGACAACAATTTAGAACAATAGATAGTGCAGTCACCAATGGCCCAGAAATTAACTTTGGAGAGAAAATCACCACCAGAGATTTATGGGTATATTGTCAGCGAAAAGGCAAAATAGAAAAAGCACACATTTCAGCTACCTTAGAACAATGTTGATTTTAAAATAATATTACAGTTTCACAGGGGAGTTTCTTTGATTATTGATATTTTGTTCCATTAAAAGTTGCTACTTTTAGATTTTCTTTCCACCAAAAAGTGGGGTTAGAGACTGTGATGTCTTTATTCCCGGTTATTAGGCAAGCAGAACTAAGACAATTCAACTCCTCACAGTTAAAGAGGTGATTCACACAAAATGCTTCCATTTCCAATACAAAGACACCAAAACAACACAATATTGGATTACTTTCCAAGAACTATCAAGGGCATATGTAAAGCCAGATAATGTATAAGAGATTGATTGATTGACTAATAATTGAACATTTCATCCCACAGAGAAATTTCAGGAGGAAATGTAGTTTGAAAGGAGGATTGGAGGTGAGAAAGGGCTTTCCAGCTAACAGTTATACCCATAAATTCTCATTTCCTTGAATAAATTTAACCTAAACCAGGAGGAGGATGAGCTAATTCATGAACAAGTACACAGACAAGAATCTGCAAACACATGCATGGGTGAGTGGCAGCTTCACACACGAGAAAAGACACAGGCAACAACACAGCAACAACACTGCAGAATAATTTGCAGCCAAAGTATTTGTGGGTTTGTGTGTGAGAATGCGTTATAGCTTTTTTTTTTCCCAAAATAGGCTTTTGGCTGAAATATTCCCAGACAGATAGAAATAACACTGCACTGCAACGTTTTGCCTACCCCTTGTTTCCCATTATTCCTAATTGACTTCTTCAAAGAGCAGGCAGGGAAAAAACAAGTCATTTAACAACAGTGCACATTCAACATAGAAAGTTCAGATAAGTCATATATGTATGTATCTCCAAAATCCATGGGTGGCATAATCAAATGTTAACAATTTATAAGGACTTAAGTTGTTCTGCTGTCTTGCTATATGGAGCAGATATCCACTGTGTTTTTGTATACTTTTTTGAAAATTTCAGGGAAAAAACAAGGCAAGCAAGCTACAGCTACTGTGGGATTGAATGAATCATGCATGGTTAGAAAAATTAATACTAATACTACTGTTAGAAGTTTTGACAGTCTTTGCAATGATTTAGTAGAAAAAATTCAAAAATTAGTATAAATAAAATAAATTCCATATGACAAAATAATCATTTTAGAAATAATATTTTTGCATGTAACATATTATTTAAGCATGAGGATAAAGGAGAAAATTTTGCTTTCCTGTTCTTAAATCTAAGATTTCCTTATTTAAGAAATAAACTCAACTATACAAAAGAACTTGAGAAAAATATGTCAATTCAACAGATTATCAGGTACTGGTTTATTCCCGTTCACCAATATTTCTCAGAAAACATTTGTTTTCATTTATTTACTATGCACTCTGTGTCTCATTATAACACATTTTTAAACTTTTTCAGTACAATTAAAATGATCTGAAAGGGATCCTGAGCTAACACGCCTTCAGGAGTATAGTCAACTGGTAATTTCATTTTAAGCTTAAGTAATGAATATTTAAATTCCCTAATCTCCACTTTAAAAATGTAGAGCAGAAATCCTATTTTAAAAGGAAGTAACTACTCCATATACCTGCTGCTATTTGTGATAATATGAATTGTTACTTTTGTTACAGTAAAGCATTTAAAATATGCAGCTTTTAAATAGCTAAAGAAAAAAAGGCTTTGTGTTAACCTCTTTCACTTTTATACTGTATTACCATTATTTTACAGCAGTTAAATATCTTTTCATGACATTTCTTGAACTATCCAACCAGTGCTATTAAGATCTTTAAAAAGGAATTAATGAACTGAGTAATGAGCAGCTGGAAGCACTCAAAACAAATGAATATATTTTGATTGCCTGTTTCTTACCAGAGTTAAAATTCCTTTCCTGATGCTGATTTTGAAAAATTCACAAATAGCTAGCAGTTAGCTGCTGTGGCTTATTTTGGTTATTATTACTGTCCCTTTTTAATAAGTGAGTACAGGATTACTAGTTGTGAGACCAAGATTTTAAATCCAGTTCTGCATCTTATATCTACAGGCAAATTAATTAGCCTAAAAATAGTGAAAACTACAAAATGATAAACATGGGGGGAGATATTATTCATTTGTGTTTTTATTATAATTATTATTTCATAATATGCATTCCAGAAACCTGGCTAATTCAGCTGAGTTAATAGGTTTATTTGATTTTCATTGACAAGATACTACATATTCCTTTAAAAAAGCCTCCTGGATAGCTTTACAGAGAAAGCATAGCCTGCTAGTCATAGGTATGTACACATATTCCTTATTTTAGCTCCTTGAATAAAAAAGGATTACCCAAGGCCACTTTTCAACATTGGGTGAAATCAGATGAGTTTATAGTCTTTTCAAACCAGTAAGTAAGTATGGTTAAAGGACTCATGGGATGTTTAGAAGCACAGAAAGCCTAGGAAAAAACGTGCCTGAAGCCAGACTGTGCCACTGTTGACCTCATATGGTGCTGAAGTTAGGTAATGTTATTAGAATGAAGACCAGAGTCAAGTTTGCAGCTGGCCTGGTATCTACGTTAATAGATCACACTTCAAGTGCTAATGAGACTTCCATTTAAAATGAATAGACAACCTTGGCTGGGCGCAGTGGCTCACGCCTATAATCCCAGCACTTTGGGGGGCCGAGGCAGGTGGATCATGAGGTCAAGAGATCAAGACCATCCTGGCCAACATGGTGAAATTCCATCTCTAAAAAACCAGCTGGGCATGGTGGTGCACCCCTGTAGTACCAGCTACTCAGGAGGCTGAGGCAGGTGAATTGCTTGAACCCAGGAGGTGGACGTTTCAGTGAGCCAAGATCATGTCACTGCACTCCAGCCTGGTAACAGAGTAAGACTCCATCTCAATAAACAAACAAACAAACAAACAAATAAATAAAATTAAATAAATAAAATAGACAGCCTCAAGAATACCTGTGAGTTAAATATCTCTATCCCTATATCAGTATCTACTGATTTCCAAATAAAAGAACTTATGTCAAGCCACTTTCAATCTTGGTACCAAAATTCTTGGAAGAGCTACTAAAATATCATTTAAAATATTTTTAAATTAGTAAAAAGCTTTAAGAAAAAGTCATATAAAGATGAGAGAGAAACAACTGCTTCTTGGATCATTACTAGGGTCCATGTAAAGACTCAATGAAAGAGAGAGTTTCACATGACTGGGAAGGTTGGTGAGTCCCCAGCTAAACTTGGATATTAGAGGCAAAAGTCTCTAAAGAATTTACAAAAGATATTGTATATAACCAGCTCTATTCAGCCTGAGTCACAGCTTTTCAGAGGATGTGCTGAAATTTTTAACCATTAACAAGCATGAATATGTTCTACCATAATCTACAGACACAAGTGATTCTAGGCTAAATAAAATAGTGGAGGAAATTGGGCTTATTAAAGCTAATGCTTCCTTCAAAATTATAAGTCCTGAGCCTCCTCTAAAAATAGAATGAAAGAAGCACTTTATTTGTATTTAGGCAATATTCTTGCCTTTTCAAATCACAACATGAGTTTTTTAATCTGGACTGGCAGCTTCTCATAGAGATCAAAAGTAGGTAACAGATTTGGATCTAACATACTTTAGACACTACAGCAAAAAAAAAAAATAGATTTGAATAAATCATGATCACAATAAATTCCTACCATGGCATTCTAATACATTCAAGACACAAATTGAAAATGAACAGTCATATTTTTCCTTAAGAATCTGTTGGTTTACAATTAGCTCCCCAACAAGGTCTGGAAGGGCTTGCCCATTCTATACTTCTAAGGAACATCAACTTTGTCCTCCTGTTTTCATTAGTCAGAAATTTACCTCTTAAAAACACAAATTGGTGTAAGTTTTCTTTTGACGGTTTCAGACTTTATTTAACATGAATGTAGCAAGCTCATCATCACTTTCAAGGATATCCACGAGTCATTAAAACTAAAGGAATATCAATAAACATTCTTTGCTTAATATAGAGATTTAATTCCAGTGATTAACCAGGTCAATTTAATTGCAAATCCGGGTATCTGATTCAGCTCAAAAATATTTCTTAAAACATTTAGAGCAACTCTCAAGCATCTTAGAGAGACAAAAAAATGGGAAAAGGACATTTCAGAAATGTCTGTATTACATATTACATCAGTAAGTTTTGAGGGACTCCCAATTATGTTTCTTGTATTTTTATATGCAAGGAAATTTCCACACAAATGGGAATAATCAAAGCAAACTCTGGAGCCTCACTGATGTGGGCAGGCCTCTGGGTTTTGATGTGAACTGACTTTAAAAGCCTAGATCAGGCATTAAGAGGTTCCTGGCCATGGCTTGGGAAGAGCAATACATTAACCTATAATTATTATAACCTAGTAGTTATTTTAGTGAAAGAATTTGTAACAACTGCTTCAGGAGGGCAAAACTTCAGATTAATACTATATCTAAACGAAAGTTAAGAAGCCAAAAATGGCTAAAGTCAAACTATGGGGTTGTCAAGTATCAAAATCATACGTTACAAGTTTATTTACACTTAATCTTATAAAGACTGGTCATTGATTATTTCCAATAAAATGGCAGTTCATCATTCCAGATCCCTAGAAAGGAAAGTATTAACTTTGGTCCAGAAACCTGCTGTGAAGCAAGGCAGGGAACATTCAATTATTACATTATATAGCACTTTCCCTTTGAAGTAGATCCTACCAATTTTAATTAAAAATCATTTTCTTAAAATAAATAGTAATGACCATAAAATAAAAGCAGAATGTTAATGAATGTATCTGATTATTTTTCTTCCCTACTGTTTATGGGTTTTAGAAATAATTTGCTAAATTTATGCAGTGTAGAAATATGATTCTCGATTGTGGCATGTTGGTGGTTTAATGTCCATTAACAGCACTTTAAAATTCCTTTCATATCTCAACAGCAGAACAAGGTATAGAAACTATTTAAAAAATTATATTTGACTTCAGACTTCTAAACGAAGTTTCAATCTTCTCATAATTCTACATTATAAACAAAATATTACATATTAAAAGAAAATTTTAAGGTGATTATAGAGTTATAACATATTAGAAAATTAAATTTTATTTTAAATATGATGAACCAATACCAGGCATCATAGCTGAGCCTTAATAATACATTTGGAAACTAATAATGAGGTACTTTGAAATCTTATACACCTTAGTTTCTTTTTTCTCTCTCTCTCTTTTTTTTTTTTTTTTTTGGGTAGAGATGGGGTTTGCTATGTTGCCCAGCCTGGTCTCCAACTTCTGAGCTCAAGTGATCCTCCAGCCTTGACCTCCCAAAGTTCTGGGATTACAGGCATGAGCCACCACACCCAGCCCCTATATGTCTTAGTTCTAAAGGAAATTATTCACGATTCAAGCTAACTGCATTCAGAATATTTACAAATTTACATATTAAAACAACCATACCAAACAAAAATTCTTTTCATAGATGGAACAAATAGGATATGTATAAGTAAATATAAACAAGTATTCAAAATAATTATTATGTCTCTGTCTCTGTCTCTCTTTCTCTCTCTCTTTCTCTCATATACACAGAGGAACCAACTGTATGCTTAATACTTTTAAAGATCCCCAAAACCAAAAATTTAATTATTAATGTAATCATTTTTAATTATGGGATTTCCTAAAATTAGCAATGTAGAGAACTGAGGTAATTCTCTAGCTGTCCTCAAACAAAACATGGAGCTTCAAATGTTTAGTGTTATTGCAAATAATACTTGAGTTTTTTAGACATTGAAAGCCTGAATCAATTATAGGGTGTATGTTTGCATGTGTGCATGTGTTCACACATGCTATAGGCATGCCTGGAATTATCTCTTAAATAGTGGTAACTTTCCTCTGTGCTGGGAGATACTGGTTTAAGAGTGAATCAAATACTTTTCAGATATATGTTTTAAAAATAATAAAAAGAAACTGCTATATCCGAACAATGACTGTTTAGGCATTTATAATGCAGCCCATTATGTTCCTGGGACTGTCCAGTCCTGTTATGACCTACAAATCAGGAAGATCTCACTGAACATTAACAAGATCTTTTTCTCTCTCTGGAATGAAAAATGTCTGCCTTTTGGCTTTTGTTCTGTGTTTTTGTAAACACTTACGTAAAATGTGAGCCGTGCAAAATATGCGTTCAGAGAAGATAGGATTTCAAACGGATAACTACTGGACTGAGGGGTCACAAGTGTGGGGAACATCAGAGGGGTCTCAAATGTACTCTGACCAATAGCAAGATTGCACCCAGTGCCTCCAAATCAGTCATTTGTCTCGTAGCTACAAGGATATTAGATGAAGCACTAAATTGAGAGACCCAGAAGGTCTAGAGATTTATTAAAAATTTTTGAAAGACTCCTGATACCATCCCTGCATACAATAACCACAAGGGCTATAGCAAAGAAGTTATTTGAGACTGATGAAACACATAACATTATTTGTTTAGAATTAAGAACCAAGGGAAGAAGGACGACCCAACTGAAGATAACCTGCACAGTATTTATAATAATAAGACAAAACTCCAGGAGTAGAATGGTAGTTAAGCTACAGAATGGTTATAAGAAAAATAATGATATAAAGGCAAAATTTTAGGTTCTAAGAAATGTCATTAGACATCACTTTTTTCAACAGAGTGACTAAAGTAAAAGGAGATAAAAAGTAAAAAGTTCCTTTCTACTCTAGAAATACAAATACTTGCAGGAGCACTTAAAAGCCTAATCCTTGTTTCCTCGGATGCAGTGTAGACTGTCAGACATAAAATTGACAATAAAATTATCTTATTTAACAAAAAACAACTATATTATGGTTCACCAAAAATTTGTTAGGTGATCATATAGAAAATAAACATACAAGAATAAAAGAAATTTCTTAGCTATCACTAACTGATTAGAAAATAAACAATAAATATATTATTCACCATAGCAACCTAAAAATTACATATATAGAGATACTTAAGACTATCTTTAAGAAAATATACCATGGCCTGTATCAGGAAAATTTAAAACTTTGCTGTACAAAAACCACTGGAATAAATAAAAGTTTGGTCATGTTCATGAATGGAAAGAAATAATATTGGGAACATATCAATAATTCTAAAATTATCTTATAGATTAAATATAATTAAAATTAAAATCAATAATTTTGCTTTTTAATTGACGAAGTGATCCTAAAGTTTACTTGGACTGATGGAAAATTAAAGGCTAAAAATTTAAAACAAAATAAGACAAAATGAAAAGCAGAAAGAAGGTGTAATTCATTTTACTAGGTATTTTAAAATAGCATAAAGCTACAATAATTAAAATTTCGATCCAACAAATTAGAGACATTGATAAAGCTGAACATATGCTTAGAAACTAAGATACTCACCCAAATAAGAATTTCATATGCAATAAAATAGTATAGATCAGCGGATAAAGACAGAATTGTTTGATAAATGGTGCTGGATAATTAGTTGATGATTTAGAAAAATATAGTTAGAATCTCACCTCTCAACATGAATCAAAATAAACTAAAGATGGATAAAGGGCTTAACTTGATATAAAAAAAAAAACAACATTAAAACATTTTAAATATAGTTAATTGAAATCAGAGAACATTTCCCAGAATAAAGGTAGTGAGGAAAGCCTAAAGAAAAGTACAGGTCAAGAACCTAAAAACTATTCTCTATATACATAAAAAAATTTAAGCTAAATAAAACTGCCACAAACCTGGTAAAAATTCTATATAAAACACAGAATAACTCATATAAACCAAAGAAGAAAACAGTAAACTCAAAAGCAAGTGCTCAACTGATTTAAACAATTTACATAAGAAAATATATAAAAAGCTAATAAATGCACTGAGAAACCTCAACTTCAGTAGTAATTAAAGAAAGAAAAGTTAAAAGGGAAAAAATTTCCACCTAAGCATTTGTCAAAGTTGTATGTAAAATGACAATTCTCAGTGTTGGCCAGGGTGCGGCAGAAAAGCCATCTTTAATCAGTGCCAAAAGAAGCGTGCTTTGGTGGAATTCCTCAGAAACACAACCTAGTAGGAACTATTGGGATCTTTACAAATCACTGGCCCAGGAAGGAGGCAGGCACGGTGGCATATGTTTGTAGGCTGAACAACTCCAGAGGCTGAGGCAGGAGAATCCCTTGAGACCAGGAGTTTGAGACCAGCCTGGACAACATAGTGAGACCTGGTTTTAAGTTAAAAAATACCAACATTGGGAGAATAAGCAAACAGAGTAGAATAGTTTACAACCATTAAAATAGTATTTTGGAGGAATAGTTCATTATATAGGAAAATTCTAATAAGGTAAAAAAATAGAATATAAAACTAAACACTTTGACACAATTTGGTAAAAAGTAGAGTATTAGATAAGAAAAAAGGAACAAAAGAGGGAAGAAAAGAAGCAACAAAGAGAAGGGGAAGGCAAGAGGAGAGAGGATAGAAGAAAAGAAAAAGAGAAAAGAACAGCAACAACAAAAAGATGTCTAGGTGGAGAACAATCCAAATGTCCCAGTGATTATTTCTGTCTGTGGTAAGTTGTCCTGTTATTTTTTAATTTTCCTCTGTAGCCTTCCATATGTTTGCAAATTCTCTACTGCGACCATTTATTATGTTTATAACTAAGAAAAACATAGTCATTTTTAAAAGACAATTAAGGGTAAAAAAATCCATCATGCTGCATCCCTATCAGTCCAAAAAAGAAGTGGACACTGAGACAGAGGGAGTTAAAATAATGAGAGTTTGGCTATATTCCCGGGATGCCAAACCAATGGGTTAGATTAATTAACTTGGGGAGAAGAGTCAGTCAATAGCATTTGAATTAGTCACCAAAAAGACTTAAAAGTTCACACTGGCATATTAGAGACGCACCACTGGGTGAAGTGAAGTAAAAGTTGATGATGTAAAAGTGTCACTGATATTTCTAGAAATGGTCTAAAAGCTAACAGAGTTATTTCTTTGGTCCTACCTATCCTTACAGGGATAGTGAACTCCTAGCATGGTCCTGATACATTTTTGCTCCTACAGGAACAAAGCTCTCCCCATCTGTCCTGCACATACCCAAAACATAACATTCTTAGGTTTTCTTCCTGTTCCTAACTTCCTGTTCCTAGTAAGTGTAAAACAATTGCAGTGGAATTACTTCACTGATTATTTTTAAACTTTTTTGAAACGCTAATTTTTCCCAGGGTGAGTTTTTGAGCTTGAAGATATTCCAATCTTATTTGTCTTTTTTCACATCTCCACTATCTTCAGCCTGCTTATTAGCACTTCTATTTAAATGTTAAGGGAAAAGAAACTTGAACTGATTATTTTTTGCTTCTCTGCTAAAATCCACATTTTGAAAAAGAGGTTAACAAAGATGCTGCAGCAGGGTTTTAGGAATTCTCTTTGCAAAAATAAAACATGTTGTAAAGAATGGGGAGTGGAGGCTGAGTCTAAATGCACTACATCTTGCAGATCAAGTTGTATGTATCCTGAAGCAGTGGCTTAACAAATAAAAAGTTGTTGGTGGAACTGTTTCCTTTATCCATGTTATTCATTTTTTCCATAAGGGGATTTAGACATAGGAGGTGATTAGAATGCATGATAGCACAGATCACATCTGCCAAATGATAAACTCTAGCCACCTTTATGAAATATTTTCCCAGTAAGCCACTTAAGTTCACAGAACAAAAAAGCTTTTGTTCTTTAATAAGTTAAAAAAACCTGTTTCGTATATTAATAAATGCACACATCACTAGGATAAAAAAACTCATGGTGGCACCTGGATAGTTTTACAAATATTTTTACTAGTTACCTGTTTTTTGGTACTCTATTAAGCTATAATCAGAATTGTTACTATCTGTTATTAAGAGACTATATTATGGTTTGTCCTCAGCCAAATGGCATGTTTTTAACTCTTACAAAATCCAAAGTAATGACGGGTATTTACTAATCTCAAAGAGCATATCCCTATTTTTAAATGTAAACCTGTTTTAACTTCTATCACTTAAATAAAACAGACATTGAATTGTTTGCTATTTTACGAATGCTGTTATCCCTTTTGGCCTAGATATAGTTGTGTTTGAAGGATTTAAGGAAGAGTTCCATAAGCCTAGATCTTCAGCTGACTTTTGTTTTTCTACAATCTTAGGACTGAGGTTAAGAAGGAGGTAGTATCAGAACTGGCAATATTTTCTTGAGTTATTAATTTTTAAATTTCACATTCAAAAGAAATGGCAGTGGCCTCAGCACAGATCATTTCTTTTGACAGAACGGAAAGGGGAAGAAACTCATAAATATTTTCGAAACCTCCCCAGTATGGCACACCGTGACTGGTGATCAATGGATCCTCATGCTTTGATATGTTACAGCGGGAACTTTCACAAATGACTTACTGGGTTGTACATCTGATTGAACAACTGCTCAGCTTGCTACATTGCAAAGTTGGGGAGGCATTGAGGCACAGACAGGGAAAGAAGGAAAGATCCAGAAAAACAGCATTAGCTCAACAAATCCAGTGCATTCGCACAGACGAGTTAGTTGTTAAAAAAGAAGAAATTTCAGTTTCTAAACATTCCACAGTGAAAGTGAGATGCTCTAGGGAAATACAAATGTTGACTTTGGCTCCTAAAAAAGAATAGCTGGAATAAGAAATTTAAGGTTTGTGTTACTTTCCCTTTCTCAAGTTAAATAACCCATGAAATAAAGAAAGCTGTCCACTTTTGATGATACATGAAGTGCTGGCCTCCAGCAATGAATCAGAAGAAGTACTTTTAGCCAAGCCTGCAATTTATTACCTGAACTTCAAAGATGGTAATAATAAAAGATTAATTAAATCTTATCATTGAATTTATAGTTCTTCTTTTATATTAACACAAGTCTGAATTTTCTATTCAGTTTATCTTCAGAAAAATACAGATTAGCAAACAGCAGGTTAGCAATAGCAAAACATCAGTAGTTAAGGCTTTATCGGATTTACTTAAACTAAACGGGAAAAGAAAAAAAATTAAACCAGCAGGACCAAAATAAAGTGTTCTCCATTGCCTATTACCAGTTTCTACTGTTGTCTCAGAATTAGTAGAAAATATAATTTCCAAGGATATTCTATTATGTTTCAAGTGCTTTAGAATCTATAATGTTCTCGTCTATTTTGTGTTAAATATTTAAATGTTTGTAGATTTAAATGTACTGAATATTATTGTAAATAGCATCCTCAAGTTATATTTTCTAAATACCTGCACTATTAATCTGGGGCTCAACGTCAAGGTGTGCAATATTGTAGAAACTATTACTTTGCTTTAAGCTAAGACACAATTTTAGGAGTCTGAATTACTTTTTCCTTCAACTTGGATGAAGTAAATGACAATGTTATTTATCATGGTTTAAAGAAACTCCCTCCTGAAGTATAACATAATTGAAAAATTACTAAAGAGTGTATATAATATTTTGAATTGTTATTGCTTCTCAATTGATTTCTAGTCACATAGGTAAATTTACTCCCCCATTTTGAACTTCAAATACTCTATTGAAAGGCAAAATGATCTATGTCAATTATCAGTTTCTTCTCAAAATACACTTAATTATAAAGCACGCTCATAATTTGCAATTACACATTATTTGGTTAGTATCATTTCATTAGCTTCACTAATACCAGTAAAAATTTCCTCACATATGAACACTTATAAAATGTGAGATGGAATGTATAAGGGAGTTGGTTCCTTTTCTGCCTATAACCTTTCATCACAAAGTATTGAAGACATCTTAAATTAACACAGTATAATAAAGGGTTAAAGTAATTATGTGTGTGAATGTTCTCCACAGACTTTTATGTAAAAACTCCCTTTACCAATGTGAAGCATTGTTTATAAGACAAAAATAAGTTTAAATCACCGTTTGGATTTCATTGCCACTGGCAGACAAGGTTTCTGTTCAACTACACATATCTACAATGTTGTATAGATTTTATGACAAAAATACCTGGATACTCACAAACCTCGAGCAAAATTCCACTGGGAATTTTTGGTGTATTTATGACATAATAAAACTATTATGTTTTCAGCTTTCATTTAGTAAACCTTTATATTTTATTCACAAGTCACGTACCCTTTTATTTAAAAGGAGGCCCAGACACACTTAAGCTTTTATAGCTGCTTATTTTTCCATGAGTAAATGATGTGTTTATATGTATATTCACATACTGTTGGCTTATATTTTCAAATATTTCATGTAGATCTCAATTTTTTTAAGGTGATGGGTATTTGAGGTTTTTATGGAACTATTTATTAGCAGAAATTAAAGACTACTGAAAAAATATTTTAAACTTTTGAATTTAGTTAATGCTAGACAGCCAAAAATAACAAAACAGCATCTGTAGGTTAGACATAAAAATATTTAAATTATAATTACCCTATTTAAACCCACTGCACTATGCATGTAGAAGATAGGGTATAAGCAAAGATTATGTATACACTTAGAAATAAGTTATCTTTTGATAAATTAAATAGGTCATATACAGCGAGACAACCATATTTGTTACTTTAATTCTAGTGACTTGGTGGAATGTTAAAATGCTGTCAGGAATAATGCTAAAATGTTTACAGGATTTGGTCTGTGAATTTCCGTATGTGGTATCTACCTGCGAGTCAAAGGAAACCACACACTCTAAGTGATCTCAGGGACAAACCACAGCTATGTTGAAAGAAACTATATTGAATTGCATAAATGTTGATTTATTAAACTAGTCAAGTCGTTACATTAAAACTGTAAGCATCAATATGTGAATCTCTTCCTTTTAATTACTAGATTTCAAATTCCTATAGATGACTTACATTTAAAAAGAGGGTGTTGAGCATGTATCTGCAGAAATAATAAATGGGGTCCCCTGATTTCTATAAACAACAGCTCATCAGAGTGGATGGAGGGCATCTTTCATGCCCAGGTCTATTAGAAGCCATCTTTCTTCTGGACTCAGCACACTGTGACTAAGGTAAAACAGTGTAGAGGATGGTCATAAGGAGCCAGTGAATTTCTCTTTCACAAAGCTAGCTTAGAGCATGCCTTATAATCACAAAACTTTATTAAATAAAACATATTTTTCATAAGTTCATCTCTTAATGTGCATATCATAGATAACATTTTGTTTATTTATATACGTATTTTATTTATATACATCAAGAATGTATGTCATATACCCAATACATGATAGCTAAGTCAATATCCATTTAAACACCCTCAAATGGGCAATTTTAATTCTTTTATTTATTGTTCAAGATTTCTGCTTAACTAAATATTGCTTGAAATAAGTGAGATGATGAGCAGATTGGGAAATAGATTTTGCAATGTAGAGATTTTCTTGCTGTTTTGTTATTAAAGGATTTGTGTATTTATCTTTTTCTGTATCAGCAAGTAGACATTCTGAGTGTGAAATTTCTCATGATAATTTCCTTAAAAATCTCTGTAAAGTGAGCACCATATAGTAACATTTCAGTTATATATTGCATCACACAAAATGGTATATTAAATTTTAAGATATCCAGAGTAATTCCTTCACAGATATGTGATTCCTTCACATCCTTGACCATCCATGTCATATATTTTCATAACTTTAGCCAATAAATCCCTATCCCAGTGTGCTATGAATTCTACATAGTCACATTTTATTATTTGCTTTGTTTGACTGTTTAGATTCTTCTCTTTTGAATAAGTTTATGAGTTGTCAAAGGGAAACAAAATGCTTAAACTCATAATGTTATGAGTTTTATGTGAACAATGAGTGCAGACGTACCAAACAACACAGGAAGAAAGTCAAAGGAACAATGCATGACTGGAAATGCACTCCACAAAAATGTCCTCGTCAGAGAAAACATGTTAATGCTGCCATGCATATATCCTATTTCTTTTCCAAAGCCTTCTATCTACGACAAGCTTTCTTAGACAATAAGGCCATTTTGGTCAATTATAAATAGTCATTCTATAGAGATGCCAGGGACTTGACTATTTTGGTGAACTTCTAGAAATTTAACAATGTCAGAAAAGCTTTTGCAAAGTTACAAAAAGACCTACATCTGAAAGTAGCAAAAGTTTATTAACATCTAATGTGGGTTCTGGATTCTGTGATTTGTTAAAAACAGTTCTATTTTTCTTTTTTGATAATTGAGATTTGCCCAGAGAGTAATGGCTGGTTTTTATAACATTTTAAACTGCTGCTACTATTTTCATCTACTTTTCAAGTTTTTCTTTAACAGGAAACCTAAGATAATTTTTCAGGTTCACAGACAGATTTGATAGACTTCTTAGCAATACAGTTAAGAGTATTTAATTAATTCTTTTATCAGCAGACAGCAACAGATAAGGGATTTGTTTCTTTTTAAAAATGCCTCTTCCTTTTCCGTTTTATAAATTCATTTTAAAATGAGCATGATTTTTTTCTTAGACTTCACTTACCTTTTTTAACTGTGCTTCCAATTTGCTACATTCCTCTTTCTTTTGTTCAATGGCTATTTCTAGAGATTTTAATTTGGAATCCCTTTTCAGTCCTGCAGAGGCTAATGAAGATGCATGTTCTTTGAGGTCAATTAAACTAGACTGAAAGAAAAAGATTTTGAGTCAGTAAAACATTCAAATTTTTACTAGCAATGCCTTCAATTTGAACACACTGTTTCTATACATAACAATAAAGCATGCAGTAGACAGAAAGGGTAAATATAATCTTACTAAGGTAACAATAGTCAGCTTTGGCCAGGAAATTAAAGTTGGCCAGCTTACAGAATGAGCAGGATCTAATTGCCATAGAATCAAATGTGACCAAATGTTGTGGTCAGTAAATGCATGTTTCATGTCTCAAAGTCATGCTAATGATGTAAGTCCCAAGGTGGTCTTTACATGTCATAGCAAAACAGACACCCTGAACCTTCCATTTACATTTATTGCTGTCAGACCATGCAGACTCTGAGACAAATCTGAAAGAAATACTGAATTTAATGTTTCCCCTCCCAATAGCAAGTGAAATATAAAAAAGCCTCCTATTACATTTTTATCAAATCGCATTTCTCTAACAGAGAAATGATCAATGGTTTTTCAAACATCTTCCAGAAAAATCAAACATAAAATTATTTTAAAATTTAGAGTCAACTTTATAGTCCTGTCCTTTGCAATCCAGATTTGACAGATACAATGAATCTTTCCAACTCAGACATAGGGTTGCCTAAATTGTTCCAGTCATTAATCACGTCCAGAAATTAACAGGTTCCACATATACTCTGAATTCAAAAAACTAAAGAAATACTTGCATATATCACTGAACATAACTTTGCAACCTTAAAGAGCAATGTTTGTCATCAACTATGAAGTAGCAATATTGAACTATGTGACTGAGATGTACAAGTCTTAACCCAAAACAGACTCCATGTATTTCCTTCTTACTCATTTGCATCGCCTAGGAAGACACTAAACACACACTGGTCTCTCTGTAAACAATGCTACCTAATAATTTATCCTGGATTGCTTTATGGGCACTGGAATGATCTTGATGATAAAAGTCACCATTATCCAGCAAGGTGCTTCTAAAACCCCCTGGGGAACAGGTGACCCATTTTCATTTTTCACATCAGGAAACTGAGGCTCACAACAGCTGAACATCTTGTCAAAGGTCACTTAGCTGGTAAAGGCAGATACAGGTCTCAAACCCAGGTCTACAATTCCAATTTCAATGTCCTTTGTCATATCATTCCCACAGAAATAACAAAGGACATAATTCAGTCATTTTGTCATGGTGAAGATGTATCATCACTCCAATTAAATTATAAGCTCCCAATTAAATTATAAGCTGATGGCAACTGCAGATTTTTTCTTTATAAATTTTAAACTGCCAGATACCATAGCCAGTTTTAGTCAACTTGACTAGGCTCCAGTCCCCAATTGTTAATTTAGAAGTTGCTAATAGAAGGCATTTTGTAGACATGAGTAACATCTACCATCAGTTGACTTTAAGTGAAGGAGATTACCCTCAGTACTCTGGGTGGGCCTGATCCCATCAGTTGAAAGGCCTAGGAGCAGAACTCAGGTTTCCCTGAGGAAGAACAAATTCCACCTATTGGCTGCAGTGTCAGCTTCTGTCTGAGACTCTCCAGTCCGCTTTTGCTGATGACCCGTCCTGTGAATTTTGAACTTGCCTAGCCTCCATAACCGTGTAAGCCAATCTCTTATGATAAGGTTCTTAATCTGTTGAAAATGTTTAACATGGTTCTGTTTTTCTGGCAGAACCCTGACTGACACAACCAGCCCAGTGTCAAGCACATTATGCAGAAACAATAAATGTTTACCAAAATGCCTATTTGAAAGTCACACAATTTTGGGATTATTTACAAAACTACTTTCATTTATAGCTTATACTCCACCACATCATCAAGATCTCTTTTCATTCAAAATATATACATTGATTTTAAGATACAAACTGACAAGTAACACTTCCAACCAGTGAAGAATGCTACAAAGTCAAAGCTTCCATGTTTTCTGTCAATACAAACTATAGTCATCACAGATCCTCCAACTCAGAATCAGCAGTGGAAGAGTAGGAAGAAAACGTCATTCTTTATGTTCATAACAAAGAAATATGCTCCTTTCTTAAAAAAAAAAAAAAAAAAAAAAAGTAGATTTAAATTTTAAGAAATATGGATTTTGTTTCTGGGTTTCCTCGAAACTCCTTAGTCATCGATTCTTTTCCTTCTTCATCTAGATTCCTAATTTATTTGGGATTTTAATTTGGGTGAAATTATCAGTACCCTGAGAGTGAGGAAATACTGTGGAGCTAGGAGACAGACAACTGTGCTGTGGTACCATCCAGGAGGGTGAAAGGTCTAAGGCAGCTCTAAAGAAGATTGACAGTTACAGCAGACAAAGTAAGCGTGAATGGGCCAATTGCAGTCAATCTCCACATATCTCGGAGTTATGTGGATTAAATAAAATCATGTGTAATTACTGTTTCTCATGCTTCTCCACCAAACTATCCCCAAGAAAACTGAGAGGGTTATAGGGATCCTTTGAAGAATGGCAGAATAGCCCAAAGGCATCCTCTTCATAACCCCCAAGCAAGAATTTCTTTAGAGTATAAAATTTTACTTTAAAAACACAGGTGGAATTTATACTTTGTATTCATGTTTTCTATGGTATAAAAGCACAGCTCTAAATTATTTACTATAATGTAAAAATAATAGGCCAGAAGAACAGCCACATTTAAGCTCTACCTTGGGGCCCAGCATGGTACCACATCTCCTAACCTGAGGGTATTACAGATGAATGTAAAGCACTCAACACAAGGAACAGTACATAGCAGATATCAATAGAGTTATTATTATCATCATCAATGCTGCTGCTATCTCAAGCAAAGGATCATGGGACTGCAAAAAATATAGAATCCTCTAATCCATGCAAATATAGTAAGACATAAAGAAAAATTTCAAGGAGCTACATTGTATATGGTTAGCAAAACAGAGAAGATAGACATGGAGCATTACAGAAGAAGGAAGTTACAAAAAAATTTTTTTTCCTTTAAATTCAGGCATCTTTACAAAAGAAAGCTTACCACATTCCCCAAGCCTTCATACAGTGCCTCCAAGTAAGTCTCTAGTCTCCTGCGGCTACATTGAATATGAGTTTATGAGGACTATCAGTGAGGTTCACTTGTTTCTCCAGACTCACCTCTTTTTCAGTCAGTTCAGCTTGTAAAGCATTAACCTTCTCTTTCAGGTCTTTGTTCTCTTTTCGGAAGGATTCTATTTCTTCTAGTCTTTCCCGATCATCTCTTTCCCGCTGTTCTTTCAAGCGCTCAATTATTCTCTCCTGAAAGGCAATTAACAATAAAGAAGAGGTAAGAACCCATCAGTGTATATGCCAAAGCATACTGCAAAAGAAAATAAGAGGCAGTTCATCTAAGGAATGCTCTATGGGAATCAACGCACACAAGAAACTCAAAATTGGATGCGTGGGGAGAGGCTGTGCATAACAGCACATGGGAAAAACAATGAATATAGCTTCTGACTTAATAATAAAAGTTAACATCACAGGGTTGCAAAGGATCTTAATGTTCAAGTTCTATGGCTGCTCTTGGTTCATGGTAGTATCCAGCAAATTTCCAGAGCAGTTCTAGAAGAGGGAGCTTCAGACACCGAGACTCCAGACCTGCCATAGCCTCATACAAGAAAAGGGAAGAAGCAGAACATACCTCTTGGCTTAGCCCTCTTTGCTTAGCCTCTCCATTTGGCAACAAAGAGCCTTCACTGCTTTCTGAAGGCTGTTCTCTGGCTAGATTGGATTGAAGTGGGGCAGGACCCAAACCCTCCAGGTCTTAGAGCGGGACTCATTGTGAGGGCTTGAGACAAAATAAAGGATCAGCCCATTGTGTATGTGATTTTTCAGTGTGTCTGAGGATGTTGACTTTTCTGTTTATTCAAAGGTTTCTTGAAAGTCAGTAGAGACTCCAAAACACTGGGTGAGTGTGAACAAAGTTCAGCAGCAGCTTTTTTTTACTGAGGGCTTACTACATGCAAAGGTGCTGTGATGTGCTCTCCTCTTAAGTACTCATCACAAGCGCAAGGGCAGAACCAGTTCTCTTGATGACAGTGTAGAGGTGAGGAAACCAGAGCTCCAAGACGCAAGGTGGCCCGGGTCATAAACAGAAGGCTTCCCACATCCCGGGTTCTCTGACAGTCAGCCACCTGTCAGAGACCACACTGCCATAAACATACACCTGGAGCCATTTGAGGAGATCTGCCTTTGATTTTCACACTGAAATGAAAACACTGCTTTCTAGACATGTTTTCCAAAAATAGAGAACCTGCCTGATATCAAAGTAAGATACTTTCACACACACACACACACACACACACACACACACACACACACACACAGGAAAATTCCATCTGCATAAAGCTTGAGTTAGATTTCTGAAATTAGTTTGAAATTATCCAACACATATCTGAACTTCCTTTCAGATGGCCATGTTAAAAAATACTGGTGCAACAACTGTGCCCAAGGATCCCGATACTATCTTTTATAGTCTTATGATTGCAGAGTATGAAATAATGCCAGATAAATAAGACAACTGTAAAATAGTATTTAAGGCATAGGGAAGTTAGTCTGAACACAGCCTGTGACTTCAGATCCCCTGAGGAAGCAACCATTCTACCCCACTGACAATAAATTTATGTATCTAATGCTTTTTTGCGGGGATGGGGAGCATATCATTACTGTTTTCCAATTATTTAAAAACACTTCAAATGAAATATATTATCATAACAGTAGAGGCAGAAATATAACAAATGGATCTGTTAATTGCCTATATTTGTTTCTTCTTGATCCCAGACGTAGTTTACCTAACTGTGACAATGGTGAATAGATGATTATGTGATCTACAAGAGAAGGAAATGACCACAGTACATGCTCAATCTCTCAAGGGTTTTTAATGATTTCAGCAATTAAGCCCTTGCTGCCTTTTGCCTACTCTACAAGTGATTACCAGGCCACCTCTCAGTCCCATCACTTCCACTACATGGCTGTTGGAGTGACATTTCTAAAGCTCCAAAATGACCTGTCATCTCACTATTTGGAAACCTTCCCAGGAAACCCTCCGGCTGGATCACGTGTCATTTATTCCCACTCAGCAGACTTCACATGGATTCACTGCATAATCATCCTCCTGGCCCCGCTTTCCAGAGGGCAGCACTAAAAACCTATGCATCTTTTTGACCGATAGCTGGGCAAATCATCCAGCATACAACAAGTAATTAAAAGAGCTGAAGGAAGGAAGGAGAACTCAAATTAGGGATCATCTTGGCTTCAAAGAAAAGGTAGTAAAATTAAGCAGGCATGTTAACAGCCAGAAGGTGTCAGAATCCTTTGGAAAGCAGGTCGATTTGCTCTAAGCGCTTGTACTATTGACTGGGCATTGATGACAAAAAAAATCAACAAGCACTATAATGTTTTTAAGTGTTATTGATGATTCAATACTACAAAATATTTCTCTGTCAATCACAAAACTAATTTAACTGTCAGCCGCGCAGGGCCAGATGTCAAAAACATGTGTTAAAAGCCCCTAATATGCCATGATCTACTTGATTAACAACCAACTTGCAGAAATTCCAACAATGTGTTCTTGTTTTAGTCTTATTTGCATTGGCAAGCATTCCTTATGCACTCATCTGGCTCTGCACAGGTCTAATCTATTTGTGCTTTATCACAGGGTGGGAACTAAATTGCAGTGGCCTCCAGCTCTGGTATCTGGCTTTCTCAACTACTTATCTGCTATGTGGCTACAGCAAGCCTTGGCAAGACCAGCTTTATAAATACAGTGGGTTCTGTCTCTTGAGCTTCTGTGTGTCAATCCTAGAATATTCAATCTTAACTCACGGAGAGGCATTATTCTTTGCACTCTTAATGGTTGAATAAGTTCCTGGAAATTAAAAGGAATAACATACTCCCTAGGATGCCATAATCCAGGGGAAATGGTGAATACTGCCTGATGGATTCTTTTCATCAGCCAAAAGACAGCAAATAATTAAATGTAATTAAAAATCCATGAAGTTTTATTAATCATTTTGTTGTTTCACAGCATGCCCTGTTACAGGGGGAATCTGTGCAATTAAATGTGGATAAAAAGTAAATCTGTGAGGAAAATTCCATTTAAAAGAGACTGTGATGTTGCCAACATCAAAAAGACCTCAAAAGAGTTTTAGTCTTATTCTCTCACCTGTGAGCTAGGTGGCCTTGAGATAGTCCAGAGGAGGCAGCAAAGTCTCAGCCAAGGACCAGCTTAGACAGGGTGAAAACGGCTTTCAGGAGTAGTGGGTTGAGAAGTTAGCATGTGCCATGATTAATTAGCAATGGCTCTCGAGGCCCAGAAATAGGGAATGATGCTGTATATGTCAACATTTTTATTTCTGGACAAGTTATTTTTCTCATAGAACACATTTCCCATCTTAAAATGGAAGAGCATACATTCAGTGTTTCTCAAATTGTGGCCTTCTGACCACTTGGATCAGAAACCTTCAGTATGTTTAAACATCTTAGGTTCCTGCGCTCCACAGCAGAACAGCTGAATCAGAATCTCTAAGAAATAGGGCCCAGGAAACTGTATTTTAAGTAGCTTACTAGATAATATTATTTGGATATACTCAAAGGTTTGATACATACTGGAATACTTAAAATAAATCTTCTATTCTTTGTTCTATCATAGAGAACCTTGCCAGTTCCTACCAACTGTTTTATCTGTGCTTTTCAAAGAGACTAGCATTCTAATTTTGGCACCTTTAAAAGATTCCCACCAAATCAATTGCTCTATGTTTCCTTTTATTCTTCATTGCTGTAAAAAGTTAAAAATGAGATGCAAACAGAATTTGAAATAAATAGCTCACGAAGCTGGTGAATAGAGCTCTTTTGTCTGACTTGAGCATCATAAGTTTTAAAAATCTGAACTGGAATGTTTTGAAACAGACCAAGGCCCTGCAGCTGACCATAGTCACCAGTAGTCCTTACTACATTTCAGCAAAGCCTCATCCCTCATTTCCATTCCCTGCCTGGCACTTCTAGTCATCTAAGTTCTCAATTCCTCATCTAATGTCCAATTCAGATGCCATAAGCCTGAGACTGCAGATTGGCAAACTGAATAATTCTTTGTCAAGAGAGTTTAGGACAGCATGAAACTTAGAGGTCAGCTAATATAAATGTGCATTTTGAAGATGAGGTATTGAGTCCCTGAGAGAAGAGCCTTGCCCAAGTGATGCAACTATCAAGCAGTTAAGACAGTCCAAGGCGGCCAGACTCCCACAGACCTCAGCTTCCCTTCCCAGATACCCCCTGAGCCTCAAAGGAAGTACTCAAATAAAGGGAGTAGTTTCAGATTTGGGAATTATTTTGGGATTTAAGCTAGAATAAATCAAATCTTAATAGGGTCCAGAAAAAAATAATAATATCCTGCCGAGAATTCATGACATGAAAAATTATACGGTATGTGTTTACTTCTGTGAATTTTAAGAAAGAAACCAAAAGGTAGACATGGGCTGATAACATAAAACCCAAATATGCTAAATGAACACATAAGCATTAACAGTTTTTGAACATCCCCTCCTTCTAATTTCACAAATAAAATTACGACAAAGAGCCCTGGAAATAAATTATTGAAAGTTGAAAAGAGGATACATTTCCCCCAAAAGTCATCTTATTAAATATTCTTATAAGTTTTCAAGTAAAACCTTATAATTCTTATAATTTAATTCTGAAGTTATCTTTCATTTTTTTAAATTATTATAGGATTTATAACTTTATTAACCAGCAACTGTTTCTCTTCCATGGATTTACGAGCAAAATTAATTTGGAAATAGATGCTACATATGATGTCAAATAAGGTAACTCAATGTCAAAACATACTTTTTTTTTCCTTACAAAAGATTCATTTTAATTGTTTGCTATATTTTATTTTGTTTACTTTCTGGGATACATACACATGATATGTAGGTTTGTTACATAGGTAAACATGTGTTATGGTGGTTTGCTGCACCTATCACCTAGGTATTAAGCCCAGCATGCATTAGCTAATACTCATTACCTAGGTATTAAGCCCAGCATGCATTAGCTATTTTTTCAAATGATCTCCCTCTCCCCTCCCCTCCTGACAGCCCCCAGTACATGTTGTTCCCTTCCCTGTGTCCATGCACTGTTCAGCTCCCACTTATAAGTGAGAACATGTGGTATTTGGTTTCCTGTTCCTACATTAGTTTTCTGAGGTTAATGGCTTCCAGCTTCATCCATGTCCCTGCAAACAACATGATCTCATTCCTTTTTGTGGCTGCATAGAATTCCATGGTATATATGTACCACATTCTCTTTACCTAGTCTATCATTGATGGGCCATTGGGTTGCTTCCATGTCTTTGCTATTGTAACTAGTACTGCAATGAACATATGCATGTATCTTTATAATAGAATAATTTATATTCATTTGGTTATATACCCAGTAATGGGATTACTGGGTCAAATGTTATTTCTGGTTCTAGGTCTTTGAGAAATTGCCACACTGTCTTTCCACAATGGTTGAACTAATTTACATTCCCACCAATAGTGGAAATGCATTCCTTTTTCTCCACAGCTCACCAGCATCTGTTGTTTATTGACTTTTTAATAATCGCCATTCTGATCAGCATGAGATGGTATCTCACTGTGGTTTTGATTTGCATTTCTCTAATGATCAGTGATGTTGAGTTCTTTTTCATATGTTTGTTGGCTTCATAAATGTGTTCTTTTGAGAAGTATCTGTTCATATTCTTTGCCTGTTTTTTGATGGAGTTGTTTGTTTCTTGTAAACTTGTTTAAGTTTCCTTTAAATTCTGGATATTAGACCTTTGTCAGATGGATAGATTGCAAAAATTTTTCTCCCATTCTGTAGGTTGGTTGTCTGTTCACTCTGATGATAGTTTATTTTGTTGTGCAGAAGCTCTTTAGTTTAATTAGATCCTATTTGTAAAGTTTTGCTTTTGTTGCAATTGCTTTTGACATTTTGACATTTTCATCATGAAATCTTTGCCCGTGCCTATGTCCTTAAGGGTATTGCCTAGATTTTCTTCTAGAGTTTTTATAGTTGTGGGTTTTACATTTAAATCTTACAATTTTTAATAGGACCATGAAGACTAGCCCTAGAATCATGGTTCTTTATGTAGCTTCCTTTGGTTCAATAACTTTTTAATTTATTAAAATTAACTCCACAAATATGCTTACCCATGTTTTTGTAGCTTCTATGTTTTTATCATAGAGCCTTGGTTTTCAGACTAGAGTTTACATCACAATGACTTGGGGAACTTGCTAAAGTGCAGATTCCCAGGCCCTATGAGGTTCTGATTTAGTAGGTATAGATGGGACCTAACAATATAGATTTTCAATAGGAACTTCCTGGTAGTTCTGAAGTAACAGAAGAGAAGCCTTCTTTAGGATACACTGGTTTAGGAAACCCATGGGCATTTAATCTAATTCTCCCATTCATCAAATGGGAAATTTGAGATGCCAAGAGAGAGAATTACTTGCCAGGCTCACCCAGTTATTTAATGTCTCCCCAGTTAATTAGTGGCATAGGTGGGACTGCCTGTAGGTCTCCTTCCAATTACTTCATTACCTCAGAGTTTATAGGCTTTGATACCAGGGAATATAGGAGATAATGCTATAACTTTAGTAGGGTATCCCGGAGTAAACTCCCTGCAACATCCCATGCATGTACGGCCAAATCCAGCAAAGTGCTGCAGCATCAAAAATGATGAGAAAGATGAAGAAAAAGAACATAATAGAGTCTACTCCCATACTTTAAAAGTTAACATTTCTTTTCTTGGTTTCAAGCTAAATTTGAAAATAATGTCAAGAGCATAGGCCTAAAAACTGCACCAGTACATTCCATGTCCAACCAACAAACAAGCCATCCCTCCTGAGAATTCCTGGAGAACTTTACTTCTACTGCTTGTGGACACTGGCTCTTTGACACTCAGAAAGTGTTGGAGGAGAGGATAGAGCATATGCAAGCTCAACTCCAGGGTATGATACTTAGGATAGGTCCCCAGAGAATGAATAAACTCATTTAGCCAGGGTGAAATGGACTGGAAATCATTTTAAAAGTAAGTAAACATCAGAATGAGCTATTTGCCTACTGGATTTTATTAATTAATTCATTCTTTTATTTAAATTAATCCTTTTGAATATACGTCAGAAAGAAACCTTCAGGATGGCATGCTATCCTCTTCAAAGTAAAAGCCGATTTTTAAAAATTTTGTCTCACGAGGGCCTGTGAAATCTGTCCCCCTTCCTCTCCCCCACCCCTTTGTATTTGCCCTCCCCTCTGCCAGGGTGTTCTCCCTCCAGAAGGGCTCTGGCTCACTACTCACTTTCTTCAGGTGTTTCCTTGAATGTTACCTTCTCAGCACGCTTCTACCTGGTCATTCTACTCCGGCACTCCCTTTACCCCTCCGTGCCTTCTTTTCTTTGATAGAAAATATTACCCTCTAAAATCCTAGGTATGTCACTTATTTATTAACTGTCTCCCCACCACCTCCATTAGAGTCTAAACTCTGGTAAAGCCAGGATTTTCACCCATTTTCTTCTCTGCTGCATTCCAGGGCTCAAAAGAGGGCATGTCACATGGTGGGGGCTCACTCAACCAGTGTCCAATATCAAGCATCCCCAATGCAGGTTATACTAGACACAGAACGGCAAGGTAATTCACACATAGGATATGTGTCTTGGGTTTGACGTCTAGCAGAGAAAAGAAATTAACCACATAAAAACAGATGAATGAACAATTAGTGGGATGTGTGGCTAGGGGAGGGATAGCAAGTGGTGGGAGGACTGGGGAGGGATAACATTAGGAGAAATATCAAATGTAGATGATGGGGGGATGGATGCAGCAAACCACCATGGCACATGTATACCTATGCAACAAACCTGCACGATCTGTACATGTATCCCAGAACATAAAGTATAATAATTTAAAAAAGTGACATGGACTCTGGGGAGTTATGGTGTTCCTGAGACATAATGGGGATACCTAGGAGGTGTCCCTAAGGAAATGATAAAATAACAATAATAATAGTGATAACATTGTATCTACTATTCTAAACACATTCCTTATTTTCACGCATTTTCTCCTCAACATAATCCACTGAGGTTCGTACTATTATTATCCCCTTTTACAAATGAAGAATCTGAGAGGTTAAGTAATTTGTCCAAAGTAGAAAATATCAGACCTAGAATTTGAACCCAGGCAGTCTGGCTCCAAAGTCTATATTCTTGACTACCGCGCAATACAACTTCTCATGAAGCTGACCTCTCAGAAGAGAAATTAAATTTGCAGGGAGTAAGGAATATTCTCAGTTGGGGAATAGCATCTGCAAAGACTCTGAGGCAAGAAGGAGTACAGTACGCTTGAAAATCTAGAAGCCCCTCATGGCTAAGGCACAGAGAACCTGGAAAAAGAGAGATGGGGGATGAGGCTGGAAATGAAAGAAAGAATAAGGAAGGGAGCAGGCACACAGAGTGGGGGCTTGCCAGATCGGATAGGAGAAGGGACCCTGGGGGCCAGGTAGAAGATTTCAATTTGTGTCATCCTAAGTGCAATGGCAAGCTAGTGAAGGTTTTTACGGAGAGCCAAAGGTGATGTAATCAGATTTGCATTTCAGAAAATGCCCCCTGGCTACCGTGTGCCAAGTCCACTGAGGAGGGCTTGGATAGGGAGAACAAGCACCAGGGACAAAAGGTAGTGTTAGAAAAAGAAGAAAATCAGGCATATTTCAATGCATTTGGATCAACTTCCCCCAATAATGTTTCCCCATGTCTTGATTCCCTGCTTTTGAGTGTACACTCACCTTCTCTGACAGAGCTTCCTCTAGCGTTGCCAGTGCAGTGTCTGTATTACTGGAATCTGTTTGCAAGGACTTCACTCTGTCTTTCAGGTTGGTCAGTTGCTTGTCTTTATCCCTAAGTTGTTCTTGCAAGTTTTCAATCTAAAAATAAAAATAAACACTTTAATGCATATTTGATTACATATCCTGGGCCAAAATTCCTGAAGTGGATCTGTTAAAAAAACAAAACAAAACAAAAAGAACCTGAAATGATAGAAATTGTCAGTATTAAGAGGTTACACTTTGACTTAGACTCAAGGCCATTTTGATGAAAGCTTCATTTCTTCATGTAGTTCAACTCTGTATTTAAATGGTGAAAGAGAGGAGCAGAGTATCTCCCTCCATACAAAGGCAAGACCTTCTGACATACATGTAAGCACTATTATTTCTATCTATTGTTATCCCTTTTACAAGCCTTTTAAGTCTCAAATCGATAGACCTAACCTTGGTACACTGAACCAGAGAAATATTATGCAAGATTAATTCATTGATTAAACAGACATTTATGGGGAGCCCATTCTGCACCAAGCACCATATCAGTATATGGCAGATCCCATGTCGTCATTCACTCACTTCTTTATTTCAGTATTAAAGTTTGTGATATGCCAAATGTTGTCAAGTGGCTGTTTCAAAGTAACCACATGAAAAGCCAAGTAGGTTATCACCAGCAGACTGTTAATGGGAAAAAGTTGTGATATAAGTCAAATGTAACAAGTACTAAACACTCCATTTGGCAACTAAGTCATGTGCTGGCAACAAACCAGCCACTTTTATCTGCTATCTGCAGCCCGAAATAAACACACCAAATAGCCAATTATAATGCCTGTCCAGGAGCAGCAGCAAGGACTTTCTCCTGGGCATAGAGGACATTATCATTCATGTTTTTATGCTCTGCTTTCAACCATGTATTTCTTATCTAAGTATTAAAAAAAAATCCACTATACAAACAATTTATTCATAATAAGGGTTTTAAAATGACAAGGAAAAAAAGCAGTACAACTCTAAGATAAGTCCATTCAAAATATTTGCATTCTGCACCCAGCTTTCTCAGGGAATCATTCCAAACGCATGTTTCACAATGTACACTCAAACAAAATTTTTGATTACTTGATTCTCTTAGTGTGTATCTGGACTGGCAATCCAACTAATAATAGTAACAAGGAGGAGATGATTACAATGACAACAGGTGGCAGCAGTAGCAGCCTCAAAAATAGCTCTGGATGCAAAGACAATGGCTCTGCTGAACTTCAATCTGGAAAACACTGTCTTGGCTAATTTTTTCAGTGGTTACAATGGAAACCCGTAAACTCTGTGGCCTAGCAAAGATGGAATTTTTTCCTTCTTTCCTTCCCCCCTTCCTTCCAGCCTCCCTCCATCCTTCATTCTATCTTTCCTTCATTCATCTTTTCTTCTTCTGCCTTGAGATAGACATCTTAGAAACTCAGGTTATAGGTCAAATAATTAACCTTTTCCTTAATCAAAATTTAATGTGATCCCATCCAGCTGCCACTGTGAAGATTCATTGCCACTCCATGGAAAACAGCAATTCAGAAGGTATAATCATCTCCAGACAAAACAAAGGCTTCCTCCCTGCCAGACAAATGTTCACACAAAAATACACATGAGTAAGAGTATGGATGGTTATATGTCAGAATGATACTGGTTATGTGGAAGAAGCCAGCCGCTGAAAGGACTGATTTTTGGAAAAACTGCATGTTATTACTTTGAATACACCCATGCATGTATTTGTATACACATGTGTACGCAGATCCATGGTGGTTCTGAGCAAACTGATTACATCCACTGGCCTACCCTGGGAGAAAGTGCCCTGGGCATAAGAGAAGGACATCAGCCTTGGGGTAGTAACAGGTGGCAATTTCAAAGGACTTTAGGCACTGGAAATAGGGGCCAAAGGAAAAGTTGCTGTGCACTTATGTCACAATCTCTGGGGCCTCCTCATATAACCAGAAAGACTAGGAAGTCTGAGGGTCTGGATTCCACTGGCATGCAGGTAGCTGTAAAGAGCTGGAGAAATACTGATGGTGCAGATTGAGGGTCAGGGTCCTACTGGCATGCAGGTAGGGCTTAAAAGCTGGACAAACAGGGATGGTGGAGACTGAGGACACATGGGTGCTGTATCTATTTACCTCACATCTAAGAACCAAGCAGAAGAGCCAATGATACTGCAGGCATGACTGACTAACAGGGCTGGAATTAAAGATATGTTTATTGAGCTAGGGATGCACCGCTATAAGAAATGCTGCGCAAAGATCACCAAGAATGACTCTCAAGAGAAAAAAATGAGGTGCAGAACAGTGTGCAGCATACAGTCTCTTGCATAAATTTTGAAACATCTATAAATAGATAAATACATCTGGGAAAAAATCACAAGAAATTTTAACCTTTGTTGGGTAAGGTCTAGGGGGTAGAAGGAAGAGGGAGCTTCTGGTTTTTGTCTTTGTACATTTGTATAGATTTTTGCTTGAATTTTCTAACCATGTGGGTTTTATTATTTTTAAATGTCAATCAGGGTTATCCAACTGGTAAAATTATGAGCCACTTTTAATTTATATTTATATATATAAACATTATACACATTAGTAAATAATAATTTAATAAATAACACAATGCCTACTTAACACTAAATTGTACCACGTTACCAATACAGATTGTTGGTATATTTATTTTTTAATGGGATCTAAATATTTATTTTATTTTTATTTTAGGTTTGGGAGTACATGTGAAAGTTTCTTACATAAATAAACACGTGGCACAGGGGTTGATTGTACATAACATTACATTGCCTAGGTATTAAGCCCAGTACTCAATAGTTATCTTCTCTGCTCCTCCCCCTCCTCCCACCCTCCCCACTCAAGTGGACCCCATATCTGTTGTTTCCTTCTTTGTGTTCATAAGTTCTTATCATTTAGCTCACTTATGAGTGAGAACATGTGGTATTTGGTTTTCTGTTCCTGCATTAGCTTGATAAGGATAATAGCCTCCAGCTCCATCCATGTTACCAGTAAAAGACATGATCTCATTCTTTTTTTATGGCTACGTAATGTTCCATGGTCTATATGTACCACATTTTCTTTATCCAGTCTGTCACTGATGGGCATTTAGGTTGGTTCCAAGGTTTTGCTATTGTGAACCGTGCTGCAACAAACATTCACATACTGTATTTATGGTAGAATGTTTTATATTCCTCTGGGTATATATCCAATAGTGAGATGTTGGTATATTTAAACCATGGCCTATTATGCAAGTATTTGAAGTCCTGTTTGCATAACATTGCTAACTAAATAAAAATGGTAGAATCTTTAAAAAGCAGAATGTAAAATAGTATGGCACTGATTTTATAAAAAGAAAGTTATTGCATACAACAACTATATATGTATATATAGAGAGAGAGACAGAGAATCCACCAAAATGTTTTATTTGGCAATGAGGTGACTAATAGTTTTACTTCTCCTCTTCATGTTTTTTCTGCATTTGCCAATATGTTTTCATTGAGTGCAAACAGAATAAAAAGATATTTTAAAACCAAATACAAAATATCAGAATGGTTCTTTGAGTTTTAAACAATAAGTTTTTGCTTTTTAAAAGGACTCTTTGCAGGAAAAAAAATCCTTTAATACTCCAAAGATGACCGAATTCTTAAAATTTAAATTTAAAAGACTGGGGAGAATATAAAATTCTGTATCTTTTTTAAAAAGTACTGAACAGTTTTCTCATATTCACAAATTGTTATGACATTTTTATGAAATATGTTGGGAACCTTTTCTTCAAAGGGCAAGGCTGTGCAAGGTTCAAATAGCAGGATTTGAAAAATAAGCAAATCGTGACCAAGGATTAGGATAGGAAGTTTTTGGGGTAGAAAGGGAAGGGTTGTTTTGTTTTCTTTCTTTTAAGAAATTTCATATTGCAGAAATAAACTCCACCTTAGCAACACAGACAATAAAGTATGAGATGGGCCTGAGCACAAGGGAGCTAGAGAGGACCCCTGTCCTTGCCTTTGACCTGAGCTGCCTTCTGGTCATGGCTGGGCAGATTCAGAAGGAGCCAGTACTCCTGGAGCAATAGCTCTGCCTTCTGTGGCAGAACCCTGGAGAGGAAGTAAAAGAGGAGAGCTCAGACCCTGGAGGTCATCTGACAACGCTAATCCTAACGCCTTTGCTAACTTCTGAAGCTCTGACCAAGAATTAATGTGGTCCTTAACTCTGGGCTTGCCAAGCCTGAGATGGGTCAATGTTCAGCAGGGGAGCTTTGTCGTGAATTTCACACAAATGTAGTCCTCAGCACAAAAGGGGCCACTGACTAACAGCCACAGCCTCCTTGACTCCACATTTTCTCCTCCTTCTATCTGGTCTCCATGCTGCAGCCAAAGGTGACCTTCCCAACATGCAGATCTAACTGTATGACTTCCTTCCTTAGAACCCTTCAAAGGCTCCTCATTGCCCCACAAATAAAGCCCAAACTCTCTAACACATGAGGCCCTCCAAGGGATGACCCATGTGATCTTCTACCATCCCTCAGCCAAGCCCTGGTACTGTCAAATCACTAATGCTGTTCCCCAGTGCCAGGATATCCTTATATCTTACCCATCTTTGCCTATCTACCTCCTCTTCTTGAAGCCCTCTTTGCACTCCAATGTTTCACCTATTCAAGTTCTACTCAAACCTTTAGATATCAGCACACTCTTGCCTCCTTCAGGACTCCTCCTCCAACCCCTCAAACAAGGTTAAGTCCCCTAATCTGCATTTTTCATACACTATTAAATTTCCATCCTTATTTATGTCCACAAGTAGGCTGTGAGCTCAATGAAGACAGGAGTGCTGCCCTACTCACTGTTGTATCTCTAGCTACAGCAGCAAATTGTTGGCAACACCCCTTATTAGCTGGAAGGAAGGAAGGAAGGAAGGAAGGAAGGAAGGAAGGAAGGAAGGAAGGAAACAGGCAGGCTGGCTAAAGAAAGCGGTTTGTGTAAAAGGAAGAGGCTAGAGTAGGTGATGACTGAGTCCCTTCAATTCTAGAATTAATAAAAAGTGTCGGAGAAGGTCTATACAAGCTTAAAACAGAGGACCTAAAACATACTTAGGCAA